TTCGTTCGTCAATTCTTATTTTTTATCCTTCCACTTATGATTGGGAATTGCGATTGAATTTCCACCCTCTGTAGATACTTCTGCGTGATATAGTGGCGAATTTTTAAACAAATGTATCCTCAGTTTATTTATATAATTTTCTCCATTAATGTGTTGTGAATCGCACAATTCCCTGCGAACATATTAATGAGAAATAAATACATATATTCAGTAACTTTTGATGATAATATAGTTGGCTTGTGAGACATTTATAATACCTCAAGAGTCCCACCTCTCCTCTTTTCCTCCTCTTTCTTCCTCAGTCAGAGGCGGGAACATTTTTTGAAAATACGGATAAGTGCAAAACGTTTAACTCGCTCGAGAGATCGTAGTCGCTGGCAGTCATTAAGCATACGCTTGTAATATGTTTACGCAGCGTTGTTCCTCGTGCAGTCATCAATCACGGCGAATGTCGCGTCCGTCCATCCGTCACGCCACGGAGACTTCAAACATACGAGTTCTCGTTTCGCTTCATTGCCTAGTCCGTCATTTCTGACAAACCTGATGTTAAACTACGGTTTTTGTGATCGTTGGCGAATCGTAAAATTGGCAACCAATCCTTTAAAAAATTAAGCAACTTTAAAGGACAGGAAGTTTTGATATAATTGCAACATTTTGTTCATAACTATTGTTCATAACTATTGTTGATAATTTCTCAAAATTATATTATTATAATTATGTGAAACTAAGTTATTAAATATTTGCTATTTCAATTAGAAGCTTGAAAGTGTAATATATGAAAGTGAAAGTACTATATGAAGAATTAAAGAATTCCCAACTACTTTCAAAGTACTTTCAAAGTAAAATTTCAGAGTATTCGATTTTTTGAAGGAAAGGGAGTGAATTCGAGGAAAATAAGTCTCGTGTGTGCGCGTTGCGTTCTTCCAGGGTTTATTCCTCGTTTGGTCATAAAACGTCCTCTAATGCTATCAAACACTGATCGAGAGTCTTAAAAAGTTAAACGTACAATGGCACGATACTCGGCAGCATAATTTATTAAGGCACTTAGTAGCCACGCACTCTCACGGAGTGTCACGGCGCGTTTACTTTCCCGTCTTAGCTCGAGAACCTTTTAGGCTCGTTCAGCATTTGAGACACCCAGTATAAATAGACGCACTTTGCTCCTACAAAAGGCACTTTCTTCCCTGGCCTTCCGCAAGTTTGCCAGCATCGATCGGACGATTTGTTTCTCATTAGCGAGGCAATTTGGAGCGTTTGAGAAAGGGAATTTGCGTATGAGCCGATAATAGAATTAATTCGCGAGAATAAAAAATGTATGTATTGCTTCAAACTGTTAATCTCTATCTCTTTTTTATTTATGCAGACGCATAAGCAACTTACGGAAGTGAATATTGCACATATCACAACAGTTAAACGTAATTGTTCAGTTCTAATGTTACTTGTTTGACGTAAACGTCAGATGGATGTCATGTATAATTGAGCCAATACAAAATTATTGCACGTAGAAATATATACTTAGAAATATATACTTTATGTTGAATATTAGCACAATCTTTGGTATGAGTTGCAGTATCAAGGGTTAACATCCAGCGCAATGTTTTATCTGTTAATTATTCTTATTAATCTTATTCCTGACTAAATCGTCTTGAAAAAATCGTCCGCTCTTATACGCAAAAATATAAATATGCACATAAACGTTTCGTCACTATTAATTTTGGATTAAATGTGATTTCGCGATAAATGATGTTCATACTTGCAAAAATTAGCAAGACGTACACGGATGGCGTATGAAATATATATGTTTCTGTTTTATTACGTTCCATCATATCCATTGTTCTTAAGGCACTACGAAGGCATAAGTAGAGTCTTTTCCGATAATAAATCACTCAACGATCGTTGATTGTCACGTGTCACGAAGAAGACCGCGCTAATACACGGACGATACGAAAATACATTTACCTCACACTATAATTCCAGTATCAGTTGATTCTTCGTCGACGAAAATTTGAACAACTGGTTAACCATGATAAAGAAGCATCAAAATACAAATAACGCGAAACTGAATTTACATGTCTCACTGTTTCCTCAAATATACACGTTGAGTCTCGCGCGAAAGAATCAGTCATCGAGTCTTCGATAAAAGATTGTGCACAAGCGAAAAACGATCAATGATGATCACAATTTTCTTATCGTGGTCCTTAGAGAGAAGTGCCCGGATGCGGATGTTGCGGATGGGCTGGATAATGGACCGAGTTAACGTGTGCCGACGGCTGGTGTCCATGATGACTTGGATAAGTCCAGTGACTAGCTGCGCCCGCCGCACCGTAGAACTGATGATGCTCCTGACCGGGTATACCCGTGATCTGCATCCCCGGCACTGCGTTGTAACCCGACGTCAACACGCTGCTTCCGACGCTTCCTGTGGCCGGCCTTTTCGCCGGATTCTGCATCCCAGCGATAGCTACGCTATCACACTCGTCAGACTCACAGTCCCGGAAGCCCTTGGCGAACGGATTGGCGATCTTTAGCTGCGTTATCCGATGGTTCTGGTAGGCAGTGACCGCGGTGAATCTGGTCTCCGGGAAAGAGAACGTCTTGAAATTTTCCGTGCGAGGATCTGGTGCCGCACCCGGTGGCGAAGGGGCGACCACCACGTGACAGCGTGGTTGATAGCGATGCATCGAGTTCAGGATAATCTGCAACGAGATAAAATTACGGTCTCGACAGATACGAGGATATTCGTTGATTTG